ACCCTCAGAAGGGGGGGGGACCTAGAGTGGAAGGGGCAAGGCTGAGAACTAGCCTCTACCCAGAGTTGTCTGGGGCTGTCCCCCTTGCCATTGTGGCTAATAACCCTGGGTGGAGCCATTCTCCATGCAATTCCTCCCTTTTATTGAACCCAGTTACAGGTTGGCCTTCACAACAGAGGCCTTGAATGAAAAACACAGTTAAAGGCTCCCGGCTTCCCCACTACTGCATTGCCTGGAAGCTGCGAGAACTAGCCTCTACCCAGAGTTGTCTGGGGCTGTCCCCCTTGCCATTGTGGCTAATAACCCTGGGTGGAGCCATTCTCCATGCAATTCCTCCCTTTTATTGAACCCAGTTACAGGTTGGCCTTCACAACAGAGGCCTTGAATGAAAAACACAGTTAAAGGCTCCCGGCTTCCCCACTACTGCATTGCCTGGAAGCTGCGCAAGGTTGCTGCGGCTATTTAAAGCGCTTGTGGGTCCAGCCTCTGCGGGGTAGTGCTATAGACCTGAGCCGTGGGCCATTTAAATAGGATCCTGGCAGCTCTTACTACATTTAAAAAGCAGAGCTGTTGTGGTCAGGAACCTGACGTGAGCTGGGTCTACTCAGTCCTGGCTCAGGCCAGGTCCCCCTGCCGTAGCTCTGCCTTTTAAATGTAGCAAGAGTCTAGCAGCTCCTAATACCTTTTAAAAAGCAGAGCTGCAACCGTCCCAGAGCCAGAGTGCGCCGGGACTGCTCAGTCCCAGCTTGCACTGCCTCCAGGAGCTAACCCCTTGTGGAATAACTGAGTAGCCAATGGAAATGCCATTGACTACTCGATGAGCTGATTAACCGCTACTTAACATCCCTGCTCAGGATTCATTCTTGCTCAGTAGCCATCTAACTGGTCTGGGATGTGAGCAAACAGGTCTCTGCTTCTCTTCTTCCCTTTGGAGAGGCCTTCCAAAGCCACTTCGGATCTTGCTCTTTGCCTAAAGTTCTCTTACTAAGAAGTCATCACACCAAAGCAGTCATTCTTAATCCAGTTCTCATGGACCTCTGTCCTTCTACAGCTCCCAACACTTGTAGTGTAAAGTACAGAGCTGGGCAAATTAAGTAACCACATGTCCCTGAACTCAGCCCAAGAGTACATTCCTAGAAGTTATAGCAAAGCTTGCAGCAGTTTAGCATGGGATATCCAGAACAGGTGTGTGTCTTATCTGCTAAAGGCTTGATTTGCAGTAGGGCCTCATCCTGGAATTAACTTGAGTCCACACCTAACAAATACATTTTAGATTTAAATTAAAAAATGCCTAGTCAAAAAGTTGTTGGCACCATAAATCACAATGATCATAAAGTAAGTGTAGTGATAGATTAACTCAGCCACCCAAGTAATTCAAATCAACAGAAGAGGCCCCCAGAAGATCCTCTCATCCTTCCTTCTAATTTTTATTTGGCTTTTGCAACAAGCCCTAAAGATCTGCATAATGATGCTATTGTGGCTCAATGGAAGGAGCAAGTTCCCGGGGTTTTCAAAGGAGGCACTTTGTTGGCTGCTCACTCGTAGGGTAAGGGGGAATGCTTCTCTGCTAGGACAGTATGTCAAGCAGAGGCAGGCCTGCCAACGCTGGGCGGGGCGGGCTGAGATTGGAGGTAAAAGGTGCAACTGCTCTGGGGCTTGGTGATTCAAAAGGGCCACTGCTTCTGTTACTGTGAATGAATCAATGCTTACATGTTGAGCCATCATAGTAACATCGTAAACTACATCAAGTAAGCAAATACTGGAACAATTCTAAAAGGATCCCTATTTTAAGACTCTTCAGCCAGCTAGATGATGTTGGAAGTACAACTGAAAAGGAAGGGGCCTGTTGGAAAGGCAGGTCTTCAGCAGGTGGCCATGAGGATAATCAAGTTTTGTGCCCTTTTAGTACAGTTACTTTTAGACTGAGGCCTCAGAGGGGGATGTAAAGGGAAACTATCAGCATCCCAGTTCAAAGATTTGACCATTTCTCACTTTGCTATATCACTACAGATACAAAATGTTATTTCATCTAATTAGAATGAGTATTTGGAACTCTAGATATATTTTCACTTAGCTATCATTATGGAATTATTTTTACTATAAATGTAAGTACCAAACATATAGCCATTAAGGTTTTTTACATTGAATTTATTAGTATTAACTACCACCAAGTTAAGATACATGTGGGAGGAAAATCTGGGAAGAGCTTTATGCTTCAGAGAATAAGCTTTTCATTTACAAAGGTCAGTGCCATGCCTACAGTATTAAAACCCTGAATTAAAGCTAGCGGGTCCCATTTTACCTTCTCAAGTATCAGATACTTGCCAGAAGCAGGATACCTCACCTCCTGATTCATTGGTCTGAGCTACTGCGTTGCTAGTCCTCTCCATCTCAAATATCATACACCTTTTCAGTTCTGTCTGGCAAAGGACGGTTTCACTTGACACATTTTTAAATCTGAGGTTCCTTTAGATGTTTAAGCTCTAATCTATACTGTTATAAACGGAGAGGTGTTCGTCACGCTGTCTGTCACCAAGAACATTTCAGAAGTTTCGGTGGGAGGCAGGCCCCAAGTCCCACCTACTGCCACGCCCCCCTCTGAGGCCCTGTCCCCACCACAGAGAGTGGGGGAGCAGGGCTGAGTGCACACGCCTACCCCACCACAGGGAGGGGAAGAGTGCATGTACCCCAACATCCCTGGAGCAGTGGGGAGGGAAGAGGCCCCACTGCCCAAGCTGGGTCAAGCCTCCCCAGACCCAGAAGCAGAGGAGAGGGAGGAGGCCACGTGGCTCCAGCCTCCCCTGCTCCAGAGCAGCAGGAGTGAGGTGGCCATGCAGCCCGAGCTGTCCTGCCCCCTGGAACAGCGGGGAGGGAAGGGCACGTGTACATCTCCCATCACAGCGGGATGGGTAATGCTAGTTTTTTATAAAATACTGAACATTGGCATTTTTATTTACAATCAGCTTCATGCACTTGTTCTAACTCTGGTACTCATAACTCGAAGCACTCACCATTTTCATTACACCAAAACATAGTATGTTCAGTAATCTATGTTAGAGAGTTAGGAGGATTGTATGGAAGAAAAAAGGGTCTTAATAGATCTGTGGTCCCCAACCTTTTTGTGGCCAATAGCACATTCATGTTTTCAGAAGAGTGGGGCGGGCGCCAACAATTTTTCAAGGCTTACTTTGTATTTGTACATTAAATAATACGAAAAACATAATATTACATAATATATGAATGCATAAGATAGAAAAGGTAATTTTACATGTAAAAGGTATTAATTAAATTATTTGGCAATTATTCAGCCCCCTCTTTGGAGAAAAATAGAAAAAAGGCATCAAATGTGCAAATTGAAGGCTATTTTCATACTAAATGTGAATTGAGTAAATTTGATAGAAACTTAATTTAGTTGGATAATTTTTATTTGAATTATATTGTAATTCAGTTTAAGCAAAATTCTGCATTAATAAAAAGGGGGGGATGTCCAAATGTTGAGCAAAAAAAGCACCCTTCCCCCCAAAAATCATGGCACCTTTAATTCTCACACTGCCCATCCCCACCATCTGCTGCCATGTCTCCTCCCCTTGCCCCATCAGCTCCCTGGTGCCTGCTGCCTCCCAACCTCTCATCCTCCTCTGCTTGTCCTGACTCCTGCCCTGCTAACTGCCCTAAGCCCTGCCCTCCTCCACCAGCACTTCTCTCTCCCCTCTGCCCACTCCTCTACTAGCCCCACTCTCATCATGTGAGCTACCACCTCTCCTAATGCCTCCCACCTCCCTCTACACACCTGCCCTGCCTCTCCTCTCTAGTGCTGGTCCCTCCCCTGCAGGTGTCTGTCCCTCTGCTTCGCCCCAGAATCCCCTGGCACCTGCACCTTCCCTTAGCCCTGCACCCTCCTGGTGCCTCCCCCTTCCCTCACTGCCCCTGATGCCCACCTCACCACCCTCTGCCCCCATTCCCCTCATGCCCCTGTGCCCTCACACATCTTGCTCCATCCCTGCCTTCCTCATGCCCACCCCTTCTCCCAGCAGCTCCCCTCCAGCCCTCACCCTCTCCTCTCCCAGCATCACCCTGTCCCCTTCCCACTGACACCTCCCCTCCTGCCCTTTTCCTCATTGTCTCCACTTGGCCCCCTGGCATTTGTCTCTCCTCCACCCTGTCCCTTGGTGCCTTCCCCTTTCTTCTCCTGACCTGCCCCCCTCCCCTCAGCACAAGCCCCTTCCTCTCCCACCTCTTCCCCCTATTTTTCCCGCACCCCCACCTTTGCCTTCCAGTTTGAATCTGTGATTGGGCCTGGCCCCAGCTGCTTCCGTGACCCCAGACCATGTGCCTGGCCTGGAGCTGGGCCGCGCAGTTTTAAAATTAAAGTCCCAGGCTGTGATGTCACAGCACGCCGAGTATCTCCCCTCTCAGCTGTTGCACGGGTGTTTGAACACGCTGCACATGAGCTCCCTCAGATGTCTTGCGAACCTGGCATCTCCCCTCTCAGCTGTTGCTTGGCGGCATGCGCTCCCTCCGATAATCTCGTGCACCCCCAGGGGTGCGCGCACCCCACTTTGGAGATGACTGTTTTAAAACACTGGTGCAGGTGCACATAAATGCCCCAGTGGGTGCCATGGCGCCCGTGGGCACCACATTGGGGACCCCTGTAATAGATGTATAATGTTTACAACTTGCATTTAGTGTTTCTCTTTCCTTGGAGATCTTTTACCAAGGATTTGATTGTCAAAGCTGCATGGGCAGACTGAAAAACAACTTATTTAGGTTGACTCATCTGGAGATGACTCATGCAGGAAACCAAATGCATCTGTGCACTGTGGGTAAAATGTGTCCTTTGGAGATCAAGCTCGTAGGGTTATCAATAGTAAGCTGTTTGGATACATTTCTAACCTTGACAAATCTCTGTCTTAATTCATTTGAAAGTGATCCTGCCTTATATGAGCCAAGCAAAATGAATTGCTCTAAGCTACAGTGCCACTGCTGTAGTCGCTGTAGACAACAGGCATTTGGTATCAATTTAAATGGATTCAGGAGTGGACTCCTCAGTGAGCCACAGTAATTACTGCCTCTCAAATTGCAAAACAATTTCCTCTCTAAAGCACTATTTTAGAATATCATAACATCACAAAACATTCACCTATCAGGCTGAAGATTTCCAGTCTTAGTCTGTGCCCCAACATTTTTAAATTTGAGCAAAAACAGTTAAGCTGTTTCTGTGTACGGGAAGGGAAACTTTCTCATTAGAAAAACATTGGTAACCTTTTTCAATTACCCAGCCACCAAAATAGATTTGAGTATTACAATCTTCATTGTCAGGGGCTCGGAAAAATTCATCCTCCTGTGTACTGTGGTCAAGATGACCTAAGCCCTGTGTGGATGCAGTTAGGTCAGAGGAAGAATATGTTAGTTGGCCTAGATAATACTGCTCACAGAGATGGATTACCTGGATTTACATTGCTAGAAAGACCACTGGTGTCCTTCCAGGAAACCTTTGTGTCTTACTTTCTAGTGCTGCAACTTTGTTTGACCGAAATTAGTGTAAGCAGCTGAATCTGGATGCCAGTTCCAACTTACATACAGATTCAACTTAAGAACAAACCTACAGTCCCTATCTTGTACTAACCCGGGGACTGCCTGTACACACCTTTTTCTTTACACAGCACAGAGACTTTGCCCCACAACCAAAATGGTATTGTCTATCCTGAAAAAATGCGTAGTCTTATTGTCTTTATACAGGTTGTATAGGCTTGCTCAGATCAGTCCAGCCCATTATGTGCACACAATTATAATGTTATGTCTATTCCTGTAAGGAAAGAATATTCTATAGTGGCATAAAGCACTTTTATATCAGTATAACTGATTCCACACCAGAGATATACTAGTGTAACTAGATCTGTTTAAAAAAACAAACCACCACTCGCATCCTTAACTGAAACAGTTGTACTAATACAAAAGAATGTGTTTTGACCAAGCCTTAGAAAAAATGTTCAGGTGTTATTAACTCATTGTTAGGCACCATACAGCCCCAATTCACTCATGTTTAAATGTGTTTGTATGTCTCAGTTAATCCAACAGACTTTGCTTCCATGTGTAATAAAATTTGCACAAACTGTACTTCGTAAAAGCAGGTTGTCACAATAACATTATCAGCAATCCTCAAAAGATCATTACAGCCACTGGGATGTACACATGACAGGAAGAATATTGTGCCTACAAGTAATTCATCTACATAATGCTGCATAATTACAGAACAGACTGTAGTGTCAGGACAAGAAACTAGTAGTAGACCTAAGTCCCTCTAATTTCCAGAGCAGAGAGTTTTGCTAAGAGCATCCGGCATGCAGTTTTAATCTGAAATAAAGCCGTTGGACTGAGCTGTCATGAGGCCTTTGATTCATTTATTTCTAGGGTAACTCCTTGGTGAGCTGACTAGTGCGTCACACTTCAGAAGGAGACTGATAAACCAATTGTGCTAATGAGCAATGATGGAAATAGCTTCCAATCACAGCAACACACTAGTGCCTTGAGGCAGCATTAAGGACTGAATTGGTTCTAATCCTCCTTTCTCCTCCTACCCCAACTCTTGCCATGTAAACATCACCTCCTCAATCAGATTAGAAAAGTCCCCAGCTCAGAAGGAAACACCTAACCAATAATTTTTGTGAAAGGTTCTCTAGGTGAGTCATGACCAGGGATATTTCATCCTCTTTTCCCCCCAGCCAGGAAACATATTTGCCTTCTCTATTACCGCACTGCAATACATTGGCAAAGGATAACTCGGGTCGGCGTTTTCCAGACTTCTTCACGCTTTCCTCGCACCATCCTGCCTTAGTCACAGACGAGCCGGCTGAGTGTCCAGGGCTCAGGAGAGGTTGTTAAGCTCTCCAGGAAGCGGAGGACAGGTCGGACCCAACACCCGGCTGCTTTATTGGGGCTTGTGTCTCTGCAGGGCACTGGGCGCTGTCTCCGCGGGTCCCTGCAGCCCGGCTTTTCCAGACTTCTTCACGCTTTCCTCGCACCATCCTGCCTTAGTCACAGACGAGCCGGCTGAGTGTCCAGGGCTCAGGAGAGGTTGTTAAGCTCTCCAGGAAGCGGAGGACAGGTCGGACCCAACACCCGGCTGCTTTATTGGGGCTTGTGTCTCTGCAGGGCACTGGGCGCTGTCTCCGCGGGTCCCTGCAGCCCGGCTGTCACCCACGAGGCTGGGAGACGCGCATCTGCCCGCAGACCCACCCGCACCGTTAGC